ACTATCTTACCATGTAAAGAAGACATCAAAAAACTTTTTGATTATGTGATAAAAAAGTCTGAAAATTCTCTTAGTGTGCTGAAAATTAAGTTTGATTTTTTGTCATGGACATCGTTAATACAAAGCACACTAATTGGCCTTCAAATTTTTAACCGCCGTAGAGCTGGTGAAATTGAAAGACTAACAATTGAGAACTATCTAACAGGCCACGCCATCGATGAAAATGTGGATAAAGAAAACTTCGACCGTCTCACGAAAGAAACTAGAGAAATTGCTCAAAAATACACAAGGTTGACTATCCGTGGAAAACTAAATCGAACTGTGCCAGTGCTGCTCACACCGTTTGACAATTATTGTATTGAAACTATTCTTAAATATCGTAAAAGAGCTGGTGTTAAGAAAAATAATGATTACATATTTAGCGTGCCTAACGCCAAGCCTTTAGCAAAGCAGTATGTACGGGCTTGCCCCATTCTAAAAAGATTTGCCCTGGAGTGTGGGGCTCGCTGCCCAGGGGCCTTAAGGGGAACGATGCTTCGAAAGCATTTAGCTACCTATACATCGATGCTTAACGTCGAAGATGTCCAAATTGATAGGCTTGCCAATTTTATGGGTCATCATAAAGATATACACAAAGAAATCTACAGAATCCCTGTAACAGTAGCGGAGATTGCCGAAGTATCCCAGATGCTTATGGCAGCTCTTGGAAATAATGTTGAGGATGAAAACACAGTAGCCCTTGATCAGTTAAAAGAAAGTGAGTAAATATATTCATCAAGGTTGTGAGTGATACTAAGTGTAGTTATTGTGTAGAATATAATATTTTAACTTATCTAATAATTACTTATCCAATAAGCCCTATTGTCAATGTTTTTACATTATACTTAAAATGTATTTTGCAGATGATCCTTTAGAGGATTCGGAATCAGATTATTCTGAACAGCGATCAGAAAGCGAATTTAATATTTCCGATGATGAAATTGTAGAAAAATCCAATGCAAAAGGAAAGCGTCCAAGTAGTGAGTATTGAATTGCAACCTACATATTTTTGTCACGTGCTTACATGCATTGCGATTAGTCTGTCCTATTTATCCTCATTCGCAAAGTGAAAAAATATATCGTGCTTATTTTGCGGGCCCATTGAAGTTAGAAACTTTGGGCTTGAAATATATACACGTATATATCCACGATAGGTAAAGTGCTACAATTATATAATGACGACCACTGGGGGCGTTGTAAATCCTAAAAATCGTTTTAAATTGCACAATCGCAAATCTTACAGAATCTTAGAGCTTGACTAACTTTTTCATGAATACTATTGATGGACTACTCTGAAGATCGATAAAAATTAGTTTGCCTACGATTGACTGGGTGCGTGGCGAATGTTTAAAATTGATATCACCTAATAAATTGTTCTGGTAGGCTGTATTAATCTGTTATTGGTCTATGATTGAGTATTGCGACGGTTGCAACCGACTGCAAAGTTTTTAATATTTTTCTATATTACTAAAACGTTATTCTTTTTCACACTAAATTGTATTAAACTCTATTATTTAACAGGATCATCATTTGGAAAAACGATAAGAAACCGGTGGTCGAATGAAGAGCGTGAAGAAATATACCAGGCTTTTGGCGACCTGTTGTCGCTTAAAGGATTGCCGTCACTTAATCAATGCAACACAGTTATAAATAATTCTACATATCTAAAATGTAGGACACCGGCGCAAGTAAAAACATGGATAGATAATCAGCGCAAGGCTAAATCAAGGAACTCCGCAAATAGATTAAATAATAAATATGTTGACCATATTTAAAATAAGTGGATTATACTTTTTCGTATATTAATATTAATTTATGTTAAAAAATTTTGGAATTAAAAAAAAATTCATTTTAAATGCATGTATTTAATAACGTCATTTATGTTAATTCACATTATTAATTTTACTTTAACCTAAAGTGATCCAAAACTACATTCAAAATAAATTTGACTCTTAATTTCAATTAAGCCAGTCTGCCACTAAATTTAAAATGTATAAATTTAATAAAATATTGCTGAGTCTTATGTGGTTTCGCGTTATATTTATTTAGTTTAGTGAGTTTTATCGAAATTCACTGTTCCCTAGTCCTCATAACCTCTATATATGAGTCTCTATATTTATATAAAATCAGTATGTTTTTGGGGACAGCTATTTGACTGTTATTTACTAAATTGAAGTGTGAACTGGACCAAATCTCATCGTTCCTGTGTCCTTATAATACACGTTGCTTATGCAAAAAGGTCTGCATATGGCAACCCTGCGTTTTTGTTCCTAAAACTGACCTTATATATAAAGTTCATTATACGGAAAATTTTTATGTTATATACTGAGAGTATTTCGGGAACTGAGTCCTCGTAAAACACGTTACATGGTGTGTACCCAAAATAATGGTTGTATATAAAATTTCTCATAAGTCACGAGGCTATGCTTCTAAGACCGTTAAAATTTCCCAGAGGTTAATTTAGAAGTTCCATCATGATTCCCCAAAGAGAAAACCCCCACTTTTTGGGGTCCCTGAAATCGATGCTCCACATATATATATATATATATATATATATATAAATATATTGTGTATATTTTTTTCGTTTGCTGCGGGCGCTGAAATTTATTTTTCTATTTTATCCGTTTTTGGCCAAAAAAGAAAATGCATATTAAACAATGCATTTGCATATGCATGTGTGTGTGTGTGTGCGTCTCTGAGTGTGTGTGTGTGGTTTGTGCCACCAGGCATGCATGCAGGAGTTAAGAATGTTGCAGTCAGCCGAGCATACACTGTAATATACCCGGCAGCTTCATAATTCCCGAAAATGCTGAATATGCTGTTCAGATTATTTTTGGACTTCTTTTTATTGAAGTTAGTTTTTGTTTAACTTTAGAAATCTTTATTCCGACAGGCATAAGAATAGATAAAGCAGCATAGTACATTGCCCGATCGCTTTGTGTATAAATATACATATATATATTTTACACTTGGAATATTTCCAACAGGGCTCAGGTTGACGGGTAGTTGCAAGTCTGACTCCAGGCGCTTACCAAGCCAAGCCAAAGCGGGCGCATATTCGCGTCGTTTGTTTGTGCTAAATGTGGGCGTGGCTAACAAATAGTTGATGCGCTGCCCCGCACACACACACACACACACACGCCCGTCTTCTGCCCTCGTCAGCCTCCTCGCCCCTTCCGGCTGGCACTGCCACAATTCACTGGCTGCTCGTGTTTCATGCATTTTTAAACAGCCATTTGTCAAGCGCGTGAAAAGTGTTGCCTGCTTTTGGGCTCAGACACACACACACGTACACATACACACATACACACACACACACATGCACACACTGACTGACTGAATGCCTGCAGCTGCTGTCTGTATGTATGCTTATGAGTTGGGCAAAACTTTTAATTAACCAAAATTGAGGCTCCACAGCAGCCACAAAGATTTATTTTTTTTTTATACAAAGCCAAAAAGAGGCATTTACCTGCTGCAAAGTCGCTTTGTCATGCTCAAAAGTTGCAGGGCTTTTGCCAAGCCTACACTAAACAAAAAAAATAATTTAAAAAAAATAGAGGAAACGTCAAAAACTGCATGAAAAGCCTGAAAAAGTTTTGCCAGCGACAGGCAAAGTACTTTAGGAAGTTGCAAGTCAATTCAGCGCTGGAAGCGACTCAAAAGATCAAAATCGCGCCAACTTCTGCACGTCATGTTTCTGCGCTTGTGTGTTTTCGTGTTTGTAGTGGGTCTGTGCATGTAGCTGACTTCGTAGGCAAACAAGCTGTCAGGTAGACAGAAGGACAGACGACAGACGTGCAGTGATAGGACAACCTCATTCGAGTGAAATATTGGAGTCCCCCTTCGGGCTAATGACAGAAATATGACGAAAAATAAACATTTTGGAGTCTGACACAAGCCAAGAGGCAATTACTTAAAGCTTACAATTTAAAAATGTAATGCACTCATACCCAAAGTACAGTAAACTCGTTTCTAACGAACACTCCAACTAGGCGGAGACTTTCGTTCAAGCAATTAAAAATCAGTCAGCACACATGCCCACTTTATTAAGCGTAGACTCCTGCCGGCGGACAAAGTTACCTGGCAGTCGCTGTTCACACAAGAGTGTTTTCACTGTACCACAAATGGGCATAACTAACTGTGCCAATTACAAGAAAAGATTTGTGCGAATAGGCAAGCAAATTTTGCATACTGAGAGCAATTTTTATACCCTGAACCCATTAAATATGGGTAAACTGGGTATTATATATTTGTGCAAATGTATGTAACAGGCAGAAAGAAGCATATCCGACCCCATTTAATATCTATATTCTTGATAAGCATCAATAGCCGAGTCGATCTAGCCATGTCCGTCTGTCCGTATGTATGAACGCAAGGATATCAGAACCTATAAGGGCTAGAGACTTCAAATTTTACCTGTTTATATTTATTCTTTATATTTATAATATTCTGTGGTACAATACTCGATGGTACAGTATTGTAGAAATTTTCATTAAGATCGGTTAAGAAAACCCCAAAAGTCATGTGTTTTACTGCGCAATTAGATGGGGCAGCTAGCGCAAATTCCAAGAAAATACCGCAAGCTTCATGAATTGCCAAGCTCTCGCCTTGGAAGTTAAAAAAGCGATTTGAATGTATTTAATATTTTTGGTGCAAAAGTTATTTGTATTTGTTTTTTCTGCTTTCGGCTGGGGCCTTGTATTTTTATCCCAACTATAAATGGTAAATACCCCATGGAATACGCTATAAGTCAATTTTATAATGTATTTAAATTAATTTCATTTTACTTGTAATTTTGTTAAAAATTTAATAATAAATCCCACAGCTTTTGCTTGATAAACATATTCACTCATGCATCGCTTTCACTCTTTCTCTTTATCTCTCTCTCTCTCTCTCTCTCTCTCTCTCCCTCCCTCTCTCTCTTTCTCTCTGTCTCTCCCACTTTTTTTCTTGTGCTTTGGTCTGCCTATGACTTTGCAGATTCCGAGCTAGAAGAATTTGAGACGCCGGCTCGTTACAGACCAGACTCGCTGAGCGCCCTGAGTCGGGCCACCCGCTTCACAGAGGACGAAATCAAACGAATTTATCGCGGTTTTAAGGCTGAATGCCCAACGGGCGTCGTCAAGGAGGATACCTTCAAAGTGATCTACTCTCAGTTCTTTCCACAGGGAGGTTCGTGCGGTACAGTATATTTTGTTTCGTTAACATTTGTGGCTTGACCTAGTGAACTGCTAAAGCTTGCACACATGCCACCCGTTTTTCGTTTACTTTCATTATCGAATACACAGCCACATCAACTGTGTCTAACGATAACAAAATTTTGATTACAATTGCGATAATTGAATAATTACGATGACAATTCCGATAGCAATATATGCGTATTGTTTGTAGCTCAGATTGTGTATTTAGATCTCATTTAAATTTAAACAAATTTTAAATTTTAAATGCATTGGCAACTGCAACTTGTTTTCAATTTTGATGTTGATCTGTGTTCTTAAAGCATATTAGATGTAATTAGTAGTTTAGTCTATGTGTATATATGTATATATGTGTGTGTACACAGAACAAAAGTATAGTTAGTGAAACCATAAAAAACAAAAGCTACAAGCTTTTAGCCAAACAAATTAAATTCCATTTTCTTTTTGAGCTCAGAGAAATTTACATATTATTTTATTGAGAGATTAAACAATAATAATAATGAAATTTTAAGAGAATTAGAAGAGGGAGTGGTCTCTCTGTATGTTAAAGAAAATTATAAATTCTTTAAGGAAATGCCAAATTATCCATTGCATATAATATTTGTATACTATAAAATATAATTTAGGTAGGCTCCACACTAAGGCAAAAACGCGCTTGAAGCGTGCTACGATTATTATTGTTAGATGCTTCGAACATTTAAGAGCATAAATGATTTTGAACTATTCTGAATCTGTGTATAATAGCTTAAGTCAAGAAAGCTTCAAATTTAAATGTATTGACATTCAGAAAATTATGGGGAGCCATCGATTAATTTAATGAGATAAACATGTTCTGCGTATGCTATATGAAAATATATCCATAGTAAGAACTGCAAACCGAGCCCGACTCTTTCATACAGACGCACAGACAGACAAACATTGCTAGACCGACAAATATATACACATACTATATAGTATCAGAGATGTTTCCTATTGAGTGTTATATATATTTTCACAAAACTAATAAATTAATTTTCAATCGAAGCAGGGCATAAAAACCGGTTTTATAATATATCCACAAGGGCATTTATATAATTTATATATGTTTTTAATGCATTTTTCTCCACATTTGTATTTTTCATTTATTATTATAGTATTAGAAAAAAGTGTAGAAACGCAAGCATTACATAAAAATAACATCAAATATTTCTAAAAATTGCATGTGCTTAATACCATATTCAGTCCATAACTACGCCATTTCACTCAAAGCTGGCAACAAGCGTGTGACCAGGCCATGGGGCAGGCCAAAGCCTAATCTTTATCAATTTTGAATGCCAAACTAACCGAAACATAATCCTTGACATGCCCATTAATGTTCTGGCTCAACCCATAACTGTGGCCATCGGCTCACTTGACTCTTATTGTTATCTATTATCAATCCAGTGAGCATCGAGCATCGAACATGAAGCATCGAGTAGCGTCTGGATGGCCCGCATACAAATGACGCCCGCAATTGGCTCAATGGCACCCGTTGCTATTGCCAATTTGATTGCCAGCTTTATGGGTATTGACGATGACCAGAGGAATGGCAGCTTCATGCTGTCAATGCCGGCATGTACACCCATGTATTATCGTTATTATTGGCTCTTTTGTCAGTGGCCAAAACAAAGGCCAATGCCAGCCATGGACAGCAGCAGCATTGGGGGAGGGGGTAGGCATTGATAAATAGATGCACAGTAATATGAACTGAGGGTCCCAAAGAGTTGTGCGAGAGAAAGGCGAATTTTCTGTGCCTTTGCTTAAGCATCGGCCCCTCAACCCGAGCCCCAGCCACAGTCCCAGTTCGGCTCCCAGGCACAACGAATACGAGCGGACCCTTGGCTTGTAAAACTGAAATGTTGAGAGTGCAAATTAGTAAAAGTATAAAAAGCAAAATCATGTTTCACAAGTCGCGACTGGGCTGAGCAGGGCCGGCGAAGGCAGCAGCCATTCAAGTTTAACCCAATCCACCCACTTGACCTCGTTTGTATAACAAGTAAATTTGCTCATTTACTTTTTACCACGCGGCTTCTACCCATAAATAAAAGCCTTGCCACAAAGCATTCCAGGCTGCGTCGCGCCAAATTGAGGCGTGGATAATGAGCTGCTGGACACTAACTAAGTTACAGACTGACTGACTGACTGACTGACTGTCTGACTGACTGACTTACTGATAGCCCAACCAATTGAGGGACGGACTGACTAAGCCATGCACCAAATGGAAATTTAAAAGAAAATACTTAACCCTCCACATACACAGACTAACTCATCGCTGGCAATAGTCAAGCATAGCGGTTAATGCAGGCGCCTTATAACGACCGATCGACCGATAATTCCATATTTCTTAGTTATTGCTTTAATCCCAAAGAAATTATTTGACCTTTCAAGTGTTTTGGATCATAGCAACTAGTTTTATCTGGTCTATAGATATAGGTTAGAACAAAATACGGGCTCTTGGTTAATAATAAAACCTCCTAGTTACTTAAAATAGACACATGCCCTTCTAATTATTTACATAAAAAGCAATCCTGCAACCTTCATTCAATTGCCTGGTTAAGTAGCAATCCAATATTTGCTTTAGAGCTTTGCCTTTGGCTACCCGGTGGTCAAATGTAGGCCAAAACCAATGCAAAATATGTAGAAACTATGGAATCCACTTTGAGTACACGAACTTTTGCATGCATGTACAAAGAAATATGTATACCCGTACGCTTGTGTGCTCCCCAATAAATTCTACTTAAAATCCATGATTGTGTAGGTTTTATTTTTGTTGTTGTTGTCTGTACTGAGACGACGCACGTCATGCAGGAATCCCCTCTGGTCACGACGAACACAAAAAAGAGAGAAATATTGCTACACATGTTTCGCACTAAATTATTATAATAAACTTATTTGGCTGCCTTTGAGAGAGGGAAACTGTGCACGAGGAATAGGGAACGGGGAACGGGGAACTTGAGCCCAGACAAAAACATGGAACATGGTAATGGATGTGACGACTTGGAGCAACATGGGCCTTGAGTTGGAAGAGCAGCTTGAGCATCACGTTGGGTAAGGACAAAGGCAAGGAAGAGAATGAGGGCGAAGACAAGGGGCGGAGGCGTTGCTGTAGCGGTAAGCTGACAAACAAGCATCGGCAGCGACAGGCGGAAATGCTTGTAAAAAGCGTAGGGAACACGAGATATGCTACGCCTTAGCTATCTGATGAAAAATAAATAATGAAATCATTTTTTATTTTGATAAGCCGCTTTGCCACCCGAATACTCCGCAGCCACGATGTGAGTCGAGGCGCAACCTAATACGAGGCGACAGCCAAGCCAAAAGAAAAAGAAAGTACAACCAAAAAATGGCAAGAAAAAAAACATCATCATCAAAGTTGGTGATTTATCACTTTTGCTCCCGGTTCCAGTCTCGGTGCCCGTCAGAAACTCAAAAGCTGCTGCAGTTGCCCGGCAGCGTTCTATCTGCGTGCGCTCCCTCTTATCCCCTCCCCCCTCCACCACCACCTACAGGAAACACACACACACACATTGTTTCGTTTTCAATGTGCGCTTTTCCTGTTTTTCGTTTTGCGAATTTTCAGCGCAAATTTCATAACAATTTTTACATGACACATTTGCAGTCATTTTGACTTGGCCAAAGCAGAAAAAAAAACAACACAGTTTTGACAGCAACAATGGCAACGACAACAACAACAGCTGCTGCCTTTGCCTTTGAGCTTTGACCTTGCCCCCGCATTGTGAGCGCTGTGTGGGCGTGTCTGTGCGTCATGCGTCATAAAAACACATTAAGTATCAAACGGCGACAATAAACTTTGACAAATACATTTTTGGCAACCCCACAGTCCACAAACCTTCGCCCCCTACAATTGCCACGCTCCCCTCCACAACCGCCTCCTTCCACATGACATAAAGGCGAAAACCGCGCACATCAATAAAGTTGCTCTTTGCAACACATTTGCCAGGAGATGAGCGAGTTTCCATTTTATTAACTGCATTTTTGTTTCGACTCCGAGAGGAGGTGTAAAAATTGTGCAGTCATAAAGAGCTGGATTCGAACTCGAGCTGCGGGCTGTTGCACTCGTTGTTGCAGCTGTAAGTGGAGCCTGGAACCAAGTCATAATCATAAAAAAAAGAAACGTACAAATGAGCGGCTGCTGCCTGGCAATAATCTAAATGTAACGTGATGGCCAGATAAGGATATTTGCACCAAGTGCCCGACGTTGGGTGGTGGCGCAGTAAAACTGGCTTTAAAGAGGCCTCGAGCGTACATTTGCTTAACTGAGCTCTTTTTGTGCAGGCGGGCAGCACGTGCCTCAACAGCAATACGTTGATATAACCAGCAAACACCCTATAATTAGTTGTAGGCCAATCAGTTGCAGTTGGAAGCTTACACATTTATAACACACCAGCGGGAATTAGCCTTATTTGTCCGGGTCAAATGTCTTATTCTCAATTGATGACTAGTCAAAATGATTTTGGACCCAATTGGACAAGAAAAACACTTTTGCTTGTCAACCTGTGAGCCCCAATCTATCATGCGGATAAATTCGTTTTTCAAGTCGAGCTTTAAAAAATACAAGCAGAGCCGATCGGACTCAACTTAAGCTGGCACACGTATAGCCTTTCACCCTAATTTTTCGCAAGCATACAATTAATTTTAATACAATAAATAACTTAAATTATGCATGTGAAACTGATTGGTTGGCAATAAAGAAAGCTTTTAACAAACGCTCAAAATAAAAAAAAAAGATTTCCATAATTTTTTCAAATTTGCGGGTGGAATTTTTGACTGTTTTAACGTGCAATTACATCACATTGATAGGTAAATATAGTAAAAATGTCAGCGAGGCAGTCACTCAGTCAATCAATCAGTAAATCAGTCAGACAATTGGACAGTCAGTTAGTCAGTCATGAGATAAATATACATATCCGTTGAAAATCAGTCCGTCAATCAGCCAATCAGTCAATTATTCAGTCGGTCAGTCAAGCATTCATTCAATCATTCAGTCAGTCAGTCAATCATTGAGTTAGCCAATCAGTCTATCATTCAGTCGGTCAGTAAAACATTCAGTCAATCAGTTAATCATTTAGTCAGTCAGTCAATCATTCAGTCGGTCAGTCAATCATTCAGTTAGTCAATCAGTCAGTCAATCAGTCATTCAGTCATTCAGTCAATCAGTCAGTCAAGAGAAACAGTTGATTATCCATATGCGTTGCCTCACGCACAGTATACCCATACGGTATAATGCGCATACAGGATATTTGGTATCTGGCCTTACACACATGTGGCATAATTTGCTGAACATTTGACAACTTATCAGCACACTCGCACACTCTCAGAAGGACACACAGACACGCAGACGCACACACATAATTAGCTGAACACATTCTTCTTCAGACAGCGACACGAGGGGTCGTCGCTAAGAAGTCGAAAGTCCCGCTTCGGGCCATGTTGACTTCTTAGCGAGAAACAAAAACTTTGCGGCTGACAAAATGAAAGTTTTGTTGCAACAACAGAGTGTACACAGTGTTCGTCGAAGGACAATGGGGACAACGGGGTCGGACCCCCATAAAAGTTTTGACCCAACAATGACGCAGCAGCGGCAGCATATGCCCATATTTTTGCTGGCATCCCAACTAAACACAAAACTTCACTTTCACTTCCACTTGAGCTTTTACTTGCGCTTTCGCTTTTACTTTTACTTTCAGTTTTTGGTTATGTTTCGCATTCATATGCTCATTTCCATTTACATTTAACATCTATCATTCCCACTGTTCCCAGTACTCGCATAGTTTATTAATAACAAAGCACATGCAAATTAAATTGCTTGAATATCTAATGCGCCATATCTGTATATATTTATATTTTTGTGTTTGTATGTGTAGAGTTGACACTTATTGTAAGCACATATAATCAAAAGTTTTCGACTTAAAAGTTAAAGTCCCAGACTATTATGTCTTGGCTTTTAAAAGCTGTACACTCACTTTTAACATAGTGTTTCTTTCTCGTTTTCATTTGCAACAAAAAACAACAACTACAGCAAATCCAACATTATACGCACATTATGTATTTAATACCCTGGATCAGGATCACAGCGGCATTGTCAGCTTTGAGGTAAGTTATGTTAAATATAATTGTATAAATGTCGTCCATTTACATATATCCTAAATGAACATATTTAAATCCTTTTTATAAAACAATAAAAGTCAAGATACCCTGTAGCTAGTCGCTCAGGTACTTATAGATATCCTAAATGAGGGTATATTACTTAAGATACCCTGTGTCCAGCTGTGTTTCTTCTTAATCTCAATTATTCTATTATTCTTTAATAACTTCGGGGCTTATTGTCCGATCGTTTTAATATATTCAGGGCTTAAATATATATACATTCAAATTTGTTCACATATTAAAGTACAAGGCTTTACTGCTTTTAACAATTTGTAAAAAGAAAGGCATCCAAAATGTGTAATATTCTGGAGAAGTGTACCTGCGTGCTTGAAGTTTAAATAGAATGCGAGATGTACGACAAAAGCCTAAATGTATTATTTGTACTTATTGATTACGTGGAAACGGTGCGATATTGATGTAATGAAAACATAAAATAAGCCCGATATAAAGTATTGACAGAGAAAGACAATGATTATAGCTAACCACGATTTCATATACCATATAGGGACGGAAATGTCATCCAATCAAAATTAAACTCCAGTATATATATGCCTATCGATATCTTATGCTTATCGATCTCGATACTTGTCTTGAAAATCGCGCAATCTAGTTGTATATGAGTGATAGAGCGACCCGTTGTCTTCTACTGTGTATATCCATGACCATGACCATGCACGAGTATTTCATTCCGACTCGTTATGGCAAAGATTCCGCCAGAGCTTGCGGTCAATAAAAACAGTTTTAAGACGGTCTGCAATGATGTTGTCATAAGTTGGGAACAGTTTAAGTACAACTTTAGCCCAGGTCTTAAACGCTACAAAGTGGTTAAGCGGCAACCGAATAGGTTAAAGTGAGCGTACGAGTTTTAAAGTGCATGATATGCATGAAACAGAGAAGTCAAAAAGTTTTGGCTAATTTTAAATAATTCATGGTAAAACAACCAAAGGACAGATTTCATTTTGGACTTGTAAAGAGTTATGCGCCAAGTTAATGTTGGCAAATGGGATATTTGAACATTTTAATGCGCCTAAGCACTTGCCGAATAATTCAATTTAATATACTTGTATACACTCGCGCTCTCTCTTTCTCTCTCCCTCTCTCTTACTGACCAGCCGGACAAAAAGTGGGCGAAAATTTCGCTGTTTTGCTTAATGCTTGTTGGTTGGGTGGGCTCAGTGGTCAGCCAAGTGAGACGGCAGCCAAAGCATCCATAACCCCCAACCGTCAAACCCCAGCCCCAACATTGGCAACAAAAAGCGCTTAAGTACAATGAAATTACTTTAGACATTTTAAGCATAAAATATGGCTGACAGTTGAGCTGAAACTCCACGACACAGTCGAGTAGCATCATAAGCGATGTGCTTCACGCTGCCCACTGACTCTGTGTGTGTGTGTGTGTGTGTGTGTGTGTGTGTGTGTGTGTGTGTGTGCTTTGAGGGGGTGGTTGAGTGGTTGGCGCCAAATGATGCTGCAAAATGCTTCAAAGGCGAAACAACAACGCCAACTCGCAGCCGCAGCCGCAGTCTGGGACAAGACGCGTGTAGAGCAGCTCATTTAGCTGCGGTTTCGTAGCAACAACAACTGTGAAAGTCCTTTAGTTAGATGTCAGCGCTCTATTAAGTGCTACCGGCTACATCTTTGAGTTTGTAATAAGCAAAGTTCTAGTTAACCGTCAAAATTCTGCGTATGGGATAAGTACTTCAGCACTCTATTTTAATATATAAATCTCTATGGCCTTATCGTCAGTCAATTCCACTGTGCTTTACTGTAGCGCAAAAGTTTGGCCAAGTTTGAGCGCTGAGAAATGCGTGTCATTGATAAGAGGCGAAAACGTCAGGACTCTGGACTATGACAGACAGCGACTGATTTACTTTAGAAAACAAGCGCTCAAATTTGCGAGAGATAAATAAGAACAAACTCGACGGGCAGCTTAGCATACATATATATATATATATATATATATATATATATCTCCCTCTTTCACTTTCTCAGTCTTTCTCTATAAATAGTACATAAAATGTTTTTAAAAGTACAGACATGTTCATATATTTATACCCTGAACCCATTAAAAATGGGTCTGTCTGTCCGTCCAACTGTCCGTCTATCCGTCCGACCGTATGTATGAACGCAAGGATCTCAGAACCTATAAGAGTTACAGATCTAATATTAGATGTAGGTCCTCCTAGTGCCTGCCAGGATCGAGTTTGTTTCCGATAATCGATAACTTACTCCGTTTCCAAGCAATCGATAAAAATCGATATCGACATCCTGTTTTTTTTTTTTGCAATGTTGGTAAATTTTAAGAGCTAGAGTCACCAAACTTGTTATGTTGCTTCTAGAATATTATATATATATATCAAGTATCTTTCATTTTATACCTATCGCCACCTCCCCGCTAACACCCCAGAGCTATAAATCAAGTTAATAACCCAACTTATATTGCCAACTAATCTAAGCCACAATTTTAATGCAATTGACTTTTTGGGAATACACAAATATTCTATGGTCCAATAAGATATACTGTAGAAAATTTCATTAAGATCGGTTAAGATAGAACCAAAGTTATATGTAACTGCGCAATTGGAGGGCACAGCTAGCGAAAACATCAAGAATTTGTGTATACATGTACACACACACATTCATGAGAGTCTGCATCGCATTCTATCGCATTCTAACAGCATTGTAATTCCGACTTTTTTCTGTAATGCTATTTTAGTTCATTTTTTCTCACTATTACTTAATTATTGGAGCGGCTGTTGAGTAGAGGCATAGCAAGTGCTGCGGTCTGTCGCGAGTTCGAGCCCTACCTGGCAAACTATTATTTTTTCTTTTTTTTTTTTGGCTGGTTTGTCTATTGAGTAAAGTCGTCAGCAAGTAATACGGTCAGTTGCGACCTCGAACCCTGCCAAGGGAACTTGTTTTTTTTTTTTTTATTTATTTTTTTTACTTTAAACGAGCGCGTTGCGCGAACTGCATTTGGTGTTGGAAAAAGAGGGTTCAGTGTATTCCCTAGTCGGAAGCTCCCGACTAGAACATCTTACTTGAAATCATGCGCTTCGCTATTTAAAAACTGTCACTATTATTGTTTAGGTTGGAAAACATTTCAAACTTGTATTTTTACAAGCTATCTACAGTCGAATATATATTAGACATGTTTGCAAAAGTGTGCCAGCTTTTTGTTTCTCACAAATATTTTTTTGGCTTGCAGATACTTTTCTATCCTTTTCTTGTTGTGAATACTTTTATGACAGAAACATTTGTATTTCATAGTTTTGCATCTCACAGATACTTTGCTAACTCAGAGCTACTTTTGAATCTTACTAAAACCTTCGCATCGCATAGAAACTTTGAATCCCGAAAACTCTTTTAAATCTCACATATACTTTTCTAGCCTACAGATACTTTGTTTCGCGTAGACACAATATTCTTCTATGGGTATTTTGTGTATCACAGACATATTTGGCCTCCTTTAATTCTTTTACTTCCCGAAACACTTTTGCCTTTCTGCTACTTTTTTTGCTAAAAGCTAGATTTGTAGATCAACAGAATCTCAAAAGAGATTTTTATCTCATATTACTTTTGTGTATATTTATTTTGTATGGATATTTTTGATTTCGCAATGCCTTTGCGTCTATACGATACTTTTCTAATAAGTGGATAATTTTAGTTGTGAGCTTGTATATCTTAGTAGTTAGTCTTGCACTCAAGTATATGAGTAGCGTTCACTCTAAACGGCCCTACTTGAGACTTGTTTAAAATAAAATATAGATACCCCGCAACCAGTGCGAGGCTATGTTTATGAACAATTTTATTAAACTAATATGGCATTTCTTATATAAAATCAAGGGATATACTATACAATGCAGCGCATACAAATAGGCAAGAAGCTCTGTTAATATTTTAATGCAAACAAATATGTTATCTGCTATAAACCATGTTTTTAATCTAATAATAAACTAGGTTGCTTTGTGAGGAGCAACTCATGACTTAATGGTTCCGTAATCTGCCAATAACATGTGTAACATAGTTAACACGTGTCAACGCAATTTTGGATATTTCAATAGCAATTTTGTGTAAAGTGCAGCTGCCAGAAACTGAATAAAAGAAGAAGTAAAAACAATCATTGGCATTTCCATTTCCATTTTCATTTTCATTTCCATTTTATTTTGCATTGCCTGCTTGCGGGCGCGGTGGCGGGCGTTTTGGGTATTTCGCCAGCGGCCAAAGTGGAAATGGCAGAACGAGCGAAACAAAAGCCAAAAAATCAAGTGAAATGTCTCAAAATTGAAATAAAATGCAGCACAAGTGGGTGACAAGCGCAACGGGGGGTAGTGCGGCTGTTGTGGGCGGTGCTGCTGTAGTCGCCTATCTCAATCTGCTTTCGCGTGCGGTGTTCATGTAGCTGTTGCAGTTGCAGTTGCAGTTGCAGTCGTTGTTGCTCCTGCTACTGCTACTACTGCTACTACTGCTGCTGCTGTCATTGTCAACATTTCTATTGCAGGCGAACAAAGCGAAAAGAAGAAGAGAAACGGAAATCAAATAAATATGCGCATGCAAAACGTGGCAAATGGCAATGGTGGCGCCTAAAGAGGGCGTTGGGCGGAAAGTGGGGAGGGGGCGTGGCCAGCAGCACTCTTCGCATGCAAATTGCAAATAATTTTGCAGTTTTGTTCGCTGCCAACGTCCGAGCATGAACTTCACTTCCGGCCCAAGAGCCACGCCTATTGGTTATGCCAAATATGAGGGTTGCAGAGGGTTTCCGGGCTTGGTGGATAGGGGGCTAACTGCGACAGCGCCCAGCACAATGGCAGCACGTGTTGGCTGGCAACGCCATTGAAACGATGAATTATGGCGATTTTAACGCCAACGCTCACCAGGGGGTGGGCGGTGGGGGGGTGACCAAGCCAAGACACAAGTGCGATATAAAGCAAAGACAGGCCAAACAAAAGGCAGCCAACTGCTGCATTTATACAGCCAGGCGCACACACACACAGAAACACACCTATATACAAACACACACACGCACACACACACACACACATACACACATACTAGCTACTGCGAGACAGCCGCTTATCTGGCAATGGAACAAGGCCCCTCGCGAGCTTCGCCTTTGCCTTTTTGCCTGGCCGCCATTTTCGTTTGTAAATAATGACCTAAAATTGTAATGACTACAAGGCACGTTCGCCTTATAAAGCATATGTAGACACACACACACACACATTAACATTTGTATGCATGCACATCCCTGCCCCGCAAAAGAGCTGTTCCGCCTCTGCTTCTGCCTCTGCCACGGACTCGGTGCGAGCGTGTGTCGAATGACGGCTGACTAAGTAGACTTCCGCTTTTCAATTAAGCTCACATATTGTTGCAAGGTGTTTTATGCACGATTTGCACGACAGCTCCTTTTATTAAATTGCCAACGTTGTGACCAGACAACAATAACAGCAACAACAACAACAACCAACCAACCCACAACAACAGCAACAACGCTCAAGTGCTAGCCTCGACTTGTTGTTGAGTCAAAAATGATAGGAATGCATTAGAAAGCACAGCGTATAATTATACAATGTACACTGGTATATATTCATAAATATACATATATATATATATATGCAAAAATCGCCAAACAAATCGCAAGTCACAAATTTGTGTCTAATTTGAAAACGATTTCCCATTGTGTAGATTTAAATGCATGTCAGAAATGGGATTGCTATTATTATTATTTCGATTCAACTAGCTAGTGTTCTGAAACGTGCACTACTTGAGTATCTGTACAGCACTGCAAGAGTAGGACCCTGATGTGACTGGACTTGAGTCCCTGTACAAAACTGTAAGAGTTGGACTCGGGTGTGAATGTCAATTAATGACATATGTCTTAGAAGGGCTTTTAAATTCCTTTAGGATTCATATGCTATAGCAGAACGATTTCAAACGATCTTACAATTATTTTCCCATAATATTACAGCTTGCTGCGAGTTGTTCAAAGACTTTACTCACATGTAAATAGCATAGAAAACTCGTAATTCCCAAGTATGCTAAGCACATCTTGATATACAAAAAAGTTGTTCACCCAATAACTTTAGTTTGGACCAGCCCTTGCTATATAAGCCCACACAGATATAAATGTATATATTATTGAGAAGCGTCTCTATATTTGTGTATATATACCTTCGTTTTTTTTTATAAAAATCTACATCTTCCTAACATAGCACTGTCGTTTTGTTTCCCCTGCTCATTTATAAACGCAGCTAAGAGGAATCCGGCTAGTTTCATTCGTGTTTCTGACTGCACGCATTTGTCAGCGTCGGGGCTGCAACGCCCGAAAGTAGGCAGCGGCACTTTTTTGGTTGGTTCTGTCACGTCCCCTGCACATTGATAAATTAGCCAAGCGCTCTGTGCAACTGTCCAAATGGGCGAAATGTTTCTCAAATACAACTAGAACGAGAAAGAACGGCACGCCGAAGATCTAATACCCTTGCAGACAAAACCTTTTCATGATGCTTATAGCGCTAAGAAGCACAGGGAAAAGAGTTAATGCCGAGTTTGGTCAAGACATATTGATAAACAAAAAAGGTTTTTAATCAAAAACCTAGTTTTCGACTGATCGTTCCTATGGCAGATATATGATATAGTAGTCCGATCTTAATAGGATTTTGCATATATATGCGGAGCATAGTAAAACTAATAAATGCCGAGTTTGGTAAAGATATCTTGATAAACAAAATGTTTTTTCATACAAAAACTTAATTTTCGACCGATCGTTGCTATGGCAGCTATATGATATAGTGGTCCGATCCTAATAGGATTTTGCATATATATGAGGAGCTTAGTAAAACTAATAAATGCCGAGTTTGGTCAAGATATCTTGATAAACAAAATATTTTTTCATACAAAAACTTAATTTTCGACCGATCGTTCGAATGGCAGCTATATGATATAGTGGTCCGATCCAGCTGGTTTTCACATATGTGCTGCGTGCAACAGAAATAGGGACTTCCGCAAAGTTTCATTAAGATAGCTTTAAAACTGAGGGACTAGTTCGCATAGAAACAGACAGACGGACAGACGGACATGGCTATATCGACTCGGCTGTTGATGCTGATCAAGAATATATACTTTATGGGGTCGGAGATGTCTCCTTCTTTGCGTTACACATTTCACGACAAAATTATAATACCCTTTGCAAGGGTATAAAAACACGTATTTGAGCTGTAGGCGAGAGTTCACGACTAGGCAACACCTTGTACCCGATATATATCCCGATTGGGGTCTGTCGGAGATTTTAATATTAGTGAATAATCTTTTCGATGTTATCCGGGTCTAAAAATAATATTTATCGTTTTAACGAAACACGTAGAGCTATCGAAAAATATTCAATAATCTTTATGTGCGAGAAGTTATATTTGAAATTTAATTTCTGTTTTTTCGGTCTCTGAATTGGCATAGGTATTCAACTGAACAGCCTTCAATGGGTTTAGAGTATAACCAAGCAAAGCTGACTCTTAGCTGCATTCCAGTCTCAGGTCGAGTTGAATACCTCACCCCGGGACGCAGATTAAAAGCGGGGTACGAATCCCGCTAGCATAGTTGTAGAACTTCTTCCACTTGCCAGCTCTTATCTGGGCACATTTTTCATACAAATTGCTGATATAAATGTCCATTTCAGCAGCATATTATGTAGTGAAATCTTCAGCTCCAGTTTCAGCTATCAGCCGGACGGTGCTCGACTTAACTCGACTCGAGTGGGGGGAGCCAAGTGCGTCTGCGACTTATGGGCATTTTTTTTTTTTTTTTTTTTTTTTTTTTTTTTTTGTTTGTGTAAAACCTATTTTCCATTTCATTTGTTGTCCGTATCGCGCACCTGTCTGTCTCAGTATATGTATCTGTCTCAGTATCTGTATCTGTCTCAGTATCTGTATCTGTCTCAGTATATGTATCTGTTACTGAATCTGAGAATCTATCTGTGGGTGCAGGTTACTTTTTCTTGTATGTGTACCCGCATCTGTAATGCGTAATGTATATTTATGTTGACTTATTTTTCATTTACTGCAGGATTTCGTTCAAGGACTTTCGATACTGTCGCGCGGCTCCGTGGAGGAGAAACTGCGCTGGACCTTCTCGCTATACGACATCAATGGCGACGGCTTCATTACGAGGGAAGAAATGACTGACATTGTGACTGCCATATACGAGCTAATGGGCCGCCTGCCCGACGAATGCCCCGAGGAGGAAAAGATCAAGGGCAAGGTGGAGCAAATCTTTCAGGTGAGTGCCCATAGACAACGTTGTCCCATTGACAAAAAAAACGTCCTGGCCTGCTTTCAACTTCAACTTCAGCTCAGTTCAGCTCTGCAGCACAATTCGCATTACTTATGTTAATTATGCAATTTCAATTTGCGCTCGCCTCAAACTGTCGGCTTATTTACTCTGCATTATGCAAATCAAATTATGTATATTTCTTTTGTTGGCCATTTCGCCAGACAGCACAGCACAGCACAGAACAGGACATCACATTCGAATGGTCGCTCATACTGGTGCAGAGTCTGGACATAGTCGTCACGCGGTCTATCGTTATATTCTCTTTAGATTTCATTGTCCACTGTCCTGGACGCTCCTGGACTGGCCTGTCCTCTGGTTCGTTTGGCTTGCCAGTCACGCATTGTCATTAGCGTCTGTGGTCCTGTTGAATGCCTCATTTTGCCCTCTATACGGGTGGAGGACAAGGGAATGGAAGAAGGCTAGCCAATAGGGCACAACTGAACCAGATATTTGTCATTATTATGTGCTTTAAGGCATCCTTAAATTAATGCTTAGTTTCTCAAGACAGTTAATACCTGACTAAACAAACAGCTCTATATGAGCGCATCTTTAAAAGCAGAAAGTCGGTCTTTAGTTTGTTTTACGGCAAACATGTTGATAGATAGAAGCGAGGTCCTCGTTCAACTTTCTTTCATGCCCGTTAAATTGGTTAATTCAATTTTTTGCTAATACAAAATACATCTATTTAATGCTCAACAGAAAATGGACATTAATCGCGACGGCGTTGTGACGCTGGAGGAGTTTTTGGAGGCGTGTCGAAATGATGATGCCATATCCAGATCTATGTCCGTCTTTGATACAGCATTCTGACCATATCCGACTGACAAGGGCGATGAGTATACGGTACGCAGACGGCGACGTAGTCGCAGTCAGCAGCAAAAACAAAAGCAACAACAACAACAGCAGCAACATAATCAACAACAACAACAACAGCAGCGACAGCACAAACAGCATCAACAAATGGAGCCAGAGAAACGTAAGTCAAACTACAAGATGAAACAACAACAAATGCAACAAACACATAGCACAAGACACCAGACGGCAGCCAAGTGCTGTCATGTCATTGACATGGATGGCGCCAGCACAACAACAACAGCAACAACAACAACCACAGCAACAACAACAAACAACTGCACAAGCAACAAACATCCCAACAGCCACAATCACAACAAATGCAAAACTAATCACAGGCCTCGCCGCGACTATGAACCAGAGCTTGAAGAAAATGAGACAGAGTTTGAGTACGATAATGATGTGTACAATGATGATGATGATGATGATGGTGATGATGATGATGGTGATAATGATTATGATGATGAGGACGATGCGGAATTGGATGACTATGAGAATGGCGAACAGCTGCTGCTGGGTCGGCCTCAGCGCAGTCAATCCATTTGCCGACACTGCCTGCGGCCACAAATGGAGCTGCATTCACGCCAAATGCCAGCGTTGCGCCTGCGCAAGTCACAATCGAAAACACGTCAGCGCAAACGAAGCAAGAGCAGGCAACGGCATCATCCCCACCAGCACCCACATCTGGATGCCAACAGCAAGCCGCGTTGGCCGCAACTGAGCGTTGCCAACGAGCAGGCCATACGCTTTCGCTGTCCGCAGGTAGGTCCGCAGGTGGGTCGCGACCTGCATACACCACAGCCCATGCACTTCCATCATCCGCAGCAGCTCTGCCAGGCTAGTCAGACGCCAAGTGCCCAGCCAGCGGCGGCACCGCCTAAACCAGCCAAGAGTAAAAACAAACACAAGCAGCGAAACAATCGCAAGCAGGTGCATGGAGGAGCAGCTGCATCATCATCAGCAGCAATTGCAACAGCAGCAACTTCAGCTGCAGTACCGCCAACAACAGTTGCTGCCGCAGCATCTGCAACAGCAACGCCCGAGTCGCTGCCACCGCCGTTGCCGCCCGATGGCGGTCATTCGGCATCCCAAATCCTGGAAGGCAATGGGATTGCTGGTCAGGGGAACACGGAGCTACCCAATACGCCAGATTCACCATCTCTGGTGACGGTTAGCACGTGGTATACGGTGGCCAAGCAGGGTGTTTCCTGCTAATAGGACTTTATATATTTGTAGTCGTCAACTCCAGCTAACGCTCGCCGTCAGTGAGTACCTATAACATCAGCCTGAGTATATTCCCAGACTTTATGAAACTTGGGTTTCGTAATTGCATGAAGGTTCAAACAATAACAACAAACAACAAAACAAAAACTTCCTTCTGTATACTGAATTTCGCCAATGCATTTCGTCGCGGCGCCGAAAGGTATGTTATACGAAATATGGTTAAATTGAGAAGAAAGAGATTTTGGCATAGATCTAATATTAAACAAAATAGAAGAGAACAACTCAAGTGCTTAAATTTATAAGATACACATTCAATGTACTGTAATTATAGACATGTGTGGTTATACTCGAGTACATATAGTGTATGATGTTTTTTTTCCTCTACCTAGGCATATGGACAGCAAAAAATATAATAATAATAATAATAATAATAATAATAATACAAAAAATTAACACATAGATCAGATTTAGTATCTGAGCAAAACTCAAATGTATGTGTATGTTAAATTGATGTTGAAAAATTATGTAAAAAGTGTTATAGTGTTAAAAACTAAATATAAACTCAAATATATAACAGAATATAGCTACAATCTAACTAATTTTAATCAACCAAAAAAAATAATATAAAAGTCTTAGAACAAAAGAATAAAATTTAAAATCTGATTAAAATGTGTTTATTTTTGCTTTTCTTTTCATTTGAAACTCCCCAAATCGGCGACAAGTTTAATACAAAAGAGTTGGAAAACAAAATATAGTTAATAACCAAAATTGACGTTAGCTGTGATGAAAATTAAAACTACTTTAAACTGTAAAACAAAAGTAAAAAAAATAAATAAATAAAGGAAAACAAGACCATGCTACTAGCAACTAGAAAATCAAAGGATTACTAACTACTAAATAAACTAATGAATCAGGTTCGACAAATTGCTCAAAAGCCTAAATTAGAGAGCTCTAGTTCATATATACATACATATGTCTTTAGTTGTCCTAATGTGTGTTTATGTATGTATGTGTGCTGCCTGACATTTTATAATATTTCAATTATTTCTATACTCTTTCAATATATTTTTAAATTAATTTTATATTAAATGTTATTATAAATAATATTTAGACATTTTTTAAGATACTGTGAATAGACATGTGAAATATTGTAGTGTGGTGTAACGCCTAAAAAATGCATTTGGGTCATTCACAATTGCCTGGAAGCCTGTATTATGTAGGCTTGCGCAGTTTTGCTACAACAAAATGTACTGCAGTTTCACTCTTCACACCATTTGCCTGCAACCCAGACGCTAGTGTTGTTGTTGCCTGTAGTCCTGCAAAGTAGGTGTTGCAAAATACTCTCTTTTCGTGATATCTTACACAAAGCGTAACTCGTTTTCGAAAATGGAAAATTCTCTTATGTAAACATACGTGTGAAGGAACAAGAAAATACTAAACTCTACTCGTATACGCCCAAAAGGACATTTGCACTGGAACCAGTAGAGCATCTACTTGATGCAGCCTTGCAGGCAACTGTGAATGTCCCAACTAATTTATTTAACTTTCTAAGTTAGAGCTAGCATATTAAAAAAGTGTGTGTTACATTTTTTCTACGGTTTGTAGATTTGCATTGTTTTTATGTCATTTACTCTGAATGAGTTAATTTCATGTAAGTTAAACTATTTTTTTTTTGTGTTTTTCCTAAGATAAGAGAGAGAAGTTTGCATTTAATCAACCTTGTTTAAATTGAGATTTTTAATAAATTTCAATTTTGTTGTTATTAAACCAAACGCGCTCTTAATTTTGTATATTTTGAGAGTTAAGAGAGTTAATGTTTAAATGTTGTAAAGTGTAACAAAGCGAACATGTTTATCATGAAATCAAACTTTTATCAAAGTCTATTTACTGTGCCCGCTACGTTGGGAACAGTTCATTCAACAGTAAATGCATATGTATGCGTACATGTATGTATATTTTATGTTAATACGATTTGTATTTGTTCAAGTGTCGCTAGTCGCTGAGTGAAAAAAATTACAACTCGGCTTCGCATGAAGAGCTGGGAAAAGAACACGGAGAGAACAAAGATAACAAAAACAAAAATTAAGGATGCAATTGCTCGTAACCTTTTGCTAACTGTTATTGCTATCTGTTTTCGTATTTTTTCTGATATGATTTGTTGTTGTTTTCTTTTGTGCTACACACACAAACACACCAACACACCAACACACACACACACACACACACACACACGAACACACTCACAAGCTAGTGTATACATAGACGCATGAAATTGAAATTCTTGTATGCCAATTAAAATATGTGTTTTCTTTCTTTTTTCTCTTTCTCTTTCTATCTCTTTCATTTATTACCATTTATTCTGCCGTTGTGGCTGCTGCCTGTTGTTGTTGCTGCTGCCTGCTGACTGCTTGATGTGCTGCTGGTCCTAACACACACACACACACACACATGCAAACACTCACAACAGAAATTTGCATAACAACAAACTGAAATATGAACAAAGTAATAAATGCGATTTTGAAATTGAACGCGAATTGTCAAACTACCTACGAAATGGCCATAAATATGCAATTATGGCCAAAAGTGTGGACGTGTTTATATTTGTCACTTGTGCTACACACACGCACACAAAAATTCACACATTGAGACACACGCACACAGAGAGAGGCACTGCAAAGCCAGCTAAATATTCTCAATGCACAATTTGCATCAAAGCCAAGTTAATGGATTGCCATGCCGCTTGATCGGCCGGTATAAGCCTACGCATATACAATACACATGCGCCATGTTTACTTTTTTTTCATATGGATTTGGTCGGCCGGGCGAGCCCAAAAAAGCATGCAACATCATTTTGACCGACGACTGCATGCGTAACGAAAGCTTTATAACAATAACAACAACAAACTACCAACTAACCAAAAAACTGAAAACCACAAAGTTTTAAAAAGTAATCATAATGAGAGCACAGCTACCTTTTTTACGAAATGAAACTGTAACCAAGTGTCTGCAGATCATTCCCTTTATTTATTTATTTATTTCAAGTTCTGGTGCTGATTATTATTAGATACTTGAATCGATTCAAGGAAAGCAAAAACAAAAAAGAAATGCTTGAACTTAGCATTTTAAAGCTGAACCCAGAGAATTACTTGAACAAAACACTTTATCAGAAAAATCCAACACCTTAACCTTATGCCGTGTCTGCAATTGCTAAATGTGTGCTTTTAAAGCCACAGTGCATTAATCTGAAATATTATTCAACAAGTTTTATTTGTTTACAAATTCATCAAAGGCGGGCCCAGCAAATAGGCAAACATTAATGTAATTGAGGATAAATGGATTTCTGTATTGCATACAGCACACTTCGGTCAATAAAATCGAAAAGCCCATATCTCATAATTCCGTATTAAATACAGCAACTTTTCAATTTTGTTGTTGTATTCTATTGTTGCTATTTAAAGGCCAATTAAAAACTTTAATAAAAAATAAATAAACAGAAAAAACACTCCGACAAGATTCTTGAAGTCCATTTTGGCAAAGCTGCATAGACGATGCATTCACAACAGACATGTATGACGTATATCTATATATACATACATATATACATATGTGTATATGTATTTGGACATGTACCATGTACTTATATAATTGTGTGTTAAACAATAAGCAAGATCTTGGTGAAACAAAAAGAAAAACAAATCAAATTAAAATCAATGTTGAAAAAAAATCATAAATTGGACCAGCAAAACTATACAAAATGTAGAAGAAAAAAAAAGAAAAGAGAAGAACACTAAGAAAACCCAAATCAAATGCTTAGTTATAGAACTAACTATATTCATGACTAAATAAGAAAATGTGTAAATATACATTACAATATACAATAAATGTATGTTTGGATCAAATAATGCAATACAATTACAATATTTATCAAGTATATTGGTGTATTGTATTTTATAAGTAGGCATAAGACACAGAACACACACACATAAACCTATTAGGCAGTACAGTTTTAGCAAGAACAAGCATATAAAAACAATAGTTAAAAAACAAAAGAAAAAATACCATATAAATAGTTTATTTTATTAATTAAAAGGCAGCCAAAAAAGTTCACTGAATTTTTAAACCTAAAGCAACAAGAGCTGGAACTAGAATTGGAACTTCAGAGTATTACTTCACTTAGATCTGGTCTATACCACTACACACTCACTTTCTGGTATGTGTATGTATGTATCTAAGTATATACACATATATATTTACTTAGCTGTAGTCTTCCAAACACAACAAACAACAATTCTCAACAGATCTTCAATCTGCCTTGGCCCTAAGGGCTGAAGCAAGAGTTAGAACAAGAACCAAGAGAGAGTGCAAACAAATTTCCACTTACACTTAGACAACCTGTAGCAAATTGGTACCTTAGCTGAAACAACCAAGAAAAAGCTTTCAACTTTACAACTTAATACTTACTAACACTCAAAAAAAAAAAAAAAAAAACAAAAAAATTGACTGCACAAAGTGCAGTAGTTAGAACACAACCAGAAACCAAGAAAATACAAAGAATAATCAAATTTATCACACACTAAAAAAAAACTATGTCCAAACAAACAATAAATGTTTTCCCAATCAAATAAAAGCAAATTATAATAAATTAAAAAAAAGAAAAGGACGCATGACAAAGATTTATAATGTCTAAAGAAAAAACAAAGAAAAAGTAGATAAGCATTGTATTATTTTTAGATAAATGTTGCCAGAGTTTACATCTTAAGCGTTGCAAATCGTGTGCATACCAACTGGTCTTAAGCTATCCAATGTTTTGACACTTAGAATTCTAAACTCCTTCACACCTATACTAACTAACCTATTGAGCATAACGTGTGCTGGTCTTAAACTATCCAATGTGTTGACACTTAGAATTCTAAGCTCCTTCACACCTATACTATCTAACCTATTGAGCATAACGTGTACTTAACTTATTGTATATCAATCTATAGGAATAATACTACTTAAGTCTATCAAATTTAATAAGCTAATACTTCACTTCTTTAAACAACTATTGGTTTCTTGTTACTTATTAATCTACTCAAGTGAGTTAAACACAATCTTAGGCAATTTAACAATAAATGCATCTACCTTTAGTTTGGAATAAATGATGCACACAAATGACCCCAAGTATACACCTCCAAACTGTACGCACCTATAAGCGAATCACGACAATATATATGCCAACTGTTGAATGTAACCCACACAATGCCAAGCAAATCAGAACGATATTCACCCACGTTTAAACTCTGACCCACCCAAGCAAAGCTACATACATTCAAGTTTCTCTCTCTCTCGCTCTATGAAAATAATAATAATGATTGTTGTTGTTAGCGACCTTTCTATTAAATTCCTGAGCGCTGGCTGCGTGAAGTTCAAGTGTTGACATAATTAATAATGTAAACTGTTTTAGTTAATTGCCAGTATTTGTCCATCGAATGCTTTTCAAGTTGTCTTCAGGGTGTACTACAAAACAATATATCATATCTATATAAAAGAGAGTTTTTTCCGAACGACAGT